ATGTTGATTAGCAATGGATTATAAATATACTTAATTATGATGAAAATACCAAAGATGGCTTGAATAACACAAACTATACATTGTCGCAGTCGAGTGTTTATTGTCTTTGTTTTATCATTCAAAACGTTTATATTTTCTTATTACTCAGTTACAGCGATAGCAATGCCTTTGTCCATATTAGGGATTTCCTGAGTTCTATTTCTTCTGTGATGCACATGTGGAGTTTCTGCACAAGGGCGCCCTCTGGCGTCCAGTATGAATGAAACAGACATTAAATGTGTTTAAAGCACTCAATAATGGCCAATCCATCCTATTTTTTTATTTTTTTATTTTTTTTAAGTATCGGTTCAGGCACCGGTACCGTTTTAAAAGTATCGATTTGGCACCAGTATCGTAAAAAAAAAAAGAACAATACCCAACCCTATACAGGCAGACGAAGGTTTAATTTCAAACTCAATTTTAAACTTAATTTACTGACGTCCGTTTCTCAACGCCTCTCACTCTATTGTCTGCTATCTTGCGTTCTGTCTCTCTGTTGTACCTTGCACCTCCAGGTAAGCCTTCCAAGATGCCTCTCCGCTGGGGGTGGACGCGGTGCAGGTGTACATGCCAGTGTCTCCCAGCTGAAATCAAGAAAAGAAAATCCCTCTATTAATGCAAATATACACATATGCATATAAATTAATAATGATTTTCCGACATTCAGCTCCAAAATAACTCCTAGTTTGACACTATAGTGTCATTTCACACCAAATTACACAGTGTACATTGTCAAAAAGTCTATTCAGAGTATCGCTTTCATATTGAAGACTGAACTTTTTTTTTGTCTGCTCGTATGTAATACTTTGATAAAATTACATTGAGCAGATATTCTTCCAATGTGTACTATTTAGAATGTATGAATTAATCTGCTTTTATAGATGATCAGATGTACACAAATATAATATGTAAAGGTGGCATATGGAATGTCTGCACCACTAGCATTTGCAAACAAAACAAAACGAAACACAAAACAAAATAAAAATAGTAAGTTATTTGGTGGACTTACCATAAAAATGATTAAAAACAAACAAATAAATAATATTCCTTAAAATAAAAAATAAAATATAATTTTCCTAAACCTGTAGTTAATTGGAGGACTTACTAGGTAATCAAAATGATGATTAAAAAATAAATAAAAAAAAACAATGAAATAAAATAGTAATTTTCCCAAACCTGCAATTACTTGGAGAACTCATTAGGAAATCTAAATGAATGAATGAATCAATCAATCAATCAATCAATCAATGAAACAAAAATTGTTAAAAGCGAGAGAAAAAAGACTAACAGACAAATAAGAACATTTACATGTATGTTCCTAGACAGTGCTTTCTTAGCACAGAATGACAATAATAGTGACTGTATGATGTAGTGTTGGTGTATGCTAATATCTTAAAGAAAAAAAGATACATTTTAGAACACGTCAGCCGATCTGTCAGTCAATTTACGGAGGAGGTATGAAAGTCACCAGAAATAGACAGTCTATCTGGAGCTACTGGTGTGTGTGTGTTCGCTTAATGACATGTTCATTAATGCGGACCGCCCGAAGCGCAACAGATAGAGACGCATCTCCTCATTTCGCTTTATCTCTCCTCTATTCTTTAAAAGAAGCGAGACGTCGTCAAGTGAGACATCTATGTTAATTAAAGTCGTATTCTGACAGCCCATGCTGCGGGGACCTTTGACCCCCGTGCAGGGGGAACCCGGGTGCTCGTGTGTGTGTGTGCAGTGACAGGAAACACTCCCCTCCCCCTCGCGGCTGACGGGGGGTGACAGCAGGAGTGTGTGTTCACACATCAGAACCTGCAGGCTGACTGACGGCTCTCTGAACACTGGCCGTCTGTGTGTGAGACGATGATGTTGTGCTATAGTGAGGGATGAAAGAAAAGCCTGTCTGATGCTGTACGACACACATGTATGTCTGTGTTCACTCACACACCAAAAAAAGCACAAACCTTCAAAGATGCATGCATAAACAAGATATTAGGACTGTTTTGCAATCATTAGCAAATTTAAATCATTAAGGATGTATGATCATATATGATCATATATCAATATAGCAATACTGTATCAATACTTTGGACCTGTATTATTATTATTAATATTATTATTTATTTATTTACAGTGAGGTACTGCAAAAATGTGTATTTTTGCAAAATGGTAAAAAAAAAAAAAAAAGTTTTCGCCTTAACATTTATTTTCCTTTTTAAATGACTTTTTAAATAAAATAAAATTACGGCTATTAAAGTAATTAAATACTTTTCAGTACCCAGTCTCATTAATGAACTAATAAAATTAATAATGTTAATAAAATAAAATAATAAACAAAACGTGCTAATTAAAAGCCACATTTTTATCATGGTAATCATTTTATTATTTTCTCATGAAATGTATGCCCTCGCAAACAACTAGTATGTGGTAAATCTGTGGAAATGTTACCCAAACGTGTGCGAAAAGAATTCACAACACAATATTTTTATAAAGGGAGCTGTGATTTTTGATTCTGTCAGTGAATCCTGCAGTGCTGTCTCAGATATCCAGGAATAAAACAGCTAACAGCTCAAAAAAAGATCTGCCAACTTCAGCTCAGAAAGAAACAGCAGCTAACCGCATCTAATAAACTACCCTGCCGCATTCAGAAACCTCCATGAATAAAATATTAATAAAAATGAAAGCGAGGCGTTGGGTCTGAGACGAGCAGCACAGCACAAAACTGCTCAAGATTGCCTGTAAATAGTTGTTCTGTGCGGTGTGTTTGGAATGGAAAATTCCATAAAAATCTGTTACTAAGGAAAACCGAACAAAGGAAACAGTACTTTACGAGAACAAGTTGGTTTGGTGCAGCAAACGAGCACATGCTCAATCCTCCATACGTGAGCGTTTTAATGCATCATGAGGGTCAGAGAGGAGTTTCAAAGCTATAAATCCACCAAAGGGAAAAGGTTCCCATGAACCGGAGTCACGTCCCCTGTTACTGTACATTTATCTGCATGCTAAATATGTCAGGCTTTGATGTGGTTCTGACCCCTCAGAGCCACCGTACCTTGGCGTAACGGATCTGCAGGGCTCCTATGTCCAGCTGTTTGAGGCGAGAGTCGTGGGTGGACACCAGGACCCCGTCTTTCCTCCACAGGATGGTGGGAGTCGGCGTGCCGGTGGCTTGGCATCCCAGGACCACCGTCCCATCCACAGCCACGGTCTGGTTGGTGGGACCCTGGCGGACGACGGGTGGAGGTCTGTCTGAGATCACTGTGAGAGAGAAACCAATCACTTTAGTATAGGAGCATAATAACTGTAACAAAATAATTGTATTCCTATTATTCATTAATATCGTGTTGAGTGTTTATTGTATTTAGTTTGCAAATGTTATTTAATGGTATATTATGTCATTATTAAATATATTAACAATACCTAGACCATATTATTTTCTTTCATTCTTATTACTTTATTTACATCTATTGCTAAAATAAATACATTAATACATTCTGCAATTAATTCATTAAAAAGTAGAATAAAATAATAAAATAAAAACAACATATAATAAAATAAAATAAATATAAAACCACTTTCAGATCAGAGCCGAGCAGCTGAGTCGGCTAAAAACACATCTCTTCCATCTTCATTTGACCCTCTAAGTCTAGCGCTCTATTTTAATTCTATTTTGTCAATTTGTTTTCTTTTTTAATTATTATAAAAAAATGACCCTCTAACCCTCTAGCATTCTCTATTCTTTTTCTATTCTTTTATTTTTATTTTAAAAAAAAGACCCTCTAACACTAGCATTTATTATTAATATTATTATTTATTTATTTACAGTGAGGTACTGCAAAAATGTGTATTTTTGTCCAATAAAAACATCCTTAAAACAAGACAAACTACCTTGAGACACAAAATTTCAGATGATGTGATATGATAATATATGAAATTACTCAGATATAAAGTCTTAAAACTCATTTAAGACTCATAAATGTTGTGTTTTCTTAATTAATTATTATAAAAAAATGACCCTCTAACCCTCTAGCATTCTCTATTCTTTTTCTATTCTTTTATTTTTATTTTAAAAAAAAGACCCTCTAACACTAGCATTCCCTATTCTTTTTCTATTCTATTTATTCTTATTTATTATATATATTAAAAAAAACTTGCGTACTGCGTTAGGCTAACTGAGACTTATCACAGCTGTTACATATTATTGCTCTTTAGTTGATTTTGATTGCTTCTATTGTCCTCATTTTTAAGTCTATTTGGATAAAAGTGTCTTCTAAATGACAATGTAAATGTAAGATCAGTGATTGCCTTGTTCTAGTCCTCATAATAATTAAAAAATATTAAAATTTTTCTCTTCCTTGTAACTTTCTTTTTTCTTGTCTTTATTTTTAAAATAAAAATCAATAAATAAATAAAATGGATCACTTTAAGATGAATCACTTTGTTGTATCAATTAGAATCTGCAATCACTTAGCGTCTGCAAAATAAATATATGTATAAAGTAAAATAAAATAAAATAAAATGCATGCATGCATTCGACTAAGCTGCAAAATAGTTAGCGATATGAATCTAAATGATCTATAACACCACTAAAATGCATTAAACTAAAAGTGAGAGACCGAAGACAGGATGAGACAAAGAGGAAGAAAGTGAGACAGAACGAGACACAGAGTCTTAAGTCTAATATCATTATAATAACTATAATAAAACACTACAGCACTCCAAACCAAAATCCAAAATACATCCTTCCACATTTTCTAAGAGCCACAGAAGCGAGCGCGTGTACGGTCAGAGGTAAAGAGAACGAAGAACGCAAATAAAAATAAATGTAACCAAGGAAAAAGAGCATGTGAGAGAGGAATGCCTGGCACCAAATGAGCTGAGTACATGTTTTACAAACGAGAGAGAGAGAGAGAGAGAGATAGAGATAGAGATGGAATCCAATTTTTTCAACTGGAAGCAATTTTCTAATCAGTCACCAGCAGTAGCAGAGTGAAGCCAAACTAGAGACGAGCAATTAATACCGGCAGCATTTCAGCAGCACTTAACCTCCCTCACACACACTAAAACACACCCAAACACAATCGCCCCCCGCCGCGGCCTCCTCTCTCTCACAGCGGACCTGGCCGGTCTGATTGTAGTAAAAGCTGCGATGTTTACGTCCATCTGATTGTGTTCGACCCCGCTAGAAGCATTACCGCCATTTATACGGCTGCAATTTGCATAAATGCCACTACAGCGCATTTCAAAGCCCTACAACACTTTTGTAACGGCCATTAAAGGGATGAATTATGTATCACATGACACGTTCGCTCAGGCACGGTTGTGTCCTCGCGTCGCCGCTGTTGTAATTACTGAATCATCATGGCGGTGACCTGTAATTACGCTCCGTGCCCGCAGTGAGAGCGAGGCCAGAGAGCAGATTGGCGCTAAAATAACTGTTATTATTCTTTCTTTACCCCACATTCGCTCTCTTTGTCTTGCTTTGGTGTTTTCTTAAGGATGGCACTCACAGGAGATTATGTTGGATGAGAGAGAACTGCCAAACTGTCACTATTCAGTTGAAGTGTCTTGACTATTTAAACATACGGAGTAATCAGTGTTGGAGTAATGTGTGTATTTTCTATAAAATATTGTTATTTGCATTGAATATGAATTTTAAACCTAAATTTTATGTCCAGCCACAAATATTTAACAACGTTTTGCCTTTATACAGTGCGTGTCGCATGCAAAAACGAACAGCACGAGCTGTAATGTCTATTTAGCCAACAAATGACTCTTATGAACCGATTCTTTTTAATGATTCAGTCAAAAGGATTCAAGAAACAGTCTGGGGAAGTCTCAAACTCACTGCCGGGTCAGACATTACATTACATTACATTATTTATGATATTTACAACAAAGAATATTACAATAGCAAAATGTGATTAAGTAAAATTAATTGCATCCTGGCGGAAAAACACCTCTGAGCTGTATTGTGCTGTATTGTCAAAACATTTGACATGGCTACTATAAGACGACCGCGCTTTTTCAGATGTATTTCCAAGAAAAAAATATCGTCTTATATTCGGGTCAATACGGTAATAGCCAGAAATCTATGAGTAACGACAGAAAATTCTATGTTTATCTTTATAATGCCCATCTAGAAAAGGTTCATATGTGTTTTACAAATAAATCCATAAGTAATATAATGAGTAAGTCATTTGCAGTGCCAAACGGAGCAATTAATTGCAATATAATTAAACAGTATATTGCAATCAATGTAAAATATTTCATTAAAAATTTAATTAAATTAATTAAATTAAATTAAATTAAATTAAATTAAATTAAATTAAATTAAATTAAATTAAATTAAATTAAATTAAATTAAATTAAATTAAATTAAATTAAATTAAATTAAATTAAATTAAATTAAATTAAATTAAATTAAATTAAATTAAATATACAATTTTTGGGAGCAACTTCCCCTAAACTGAGTAGCAAAAAGGTATGCACATAAGCACTTTTGCGCTCACTAAGGCTTCATCTGTGTTGAGTGCGTCCATCTCACCGTCTGTAACCTCCAGCAGGGCTTTGGTGATCACACTGCCAGCGATGTTCAGAGCCTGACAGCTGTAGTAGCCGCCGTCCGAACGCTCCACCGCTGTGATGGTCAGATCGCCCGTCTGAGAGACAGAGAATCGACTGGAGGGAGGAGGAGGTTGAGAGGAGAACAGAAGGTTCTGGAGAGGGGAAAGAGGAAAAAGATCTATGAATAGAGTTAGAATCTGATAACAAAAATATAAAAACATAAACACTAATTACTGCAAGAATATTCAGTGTGTGAGAAATATACATCTTGTCAGGACTTGCACGTTCACACTAACTATTGGCACGGTGTGCCTGAATTCCTGAGTGTGTGATGAGTGTTACTGACCAAACCAAGATGACTTGAGGTGTGTTAGAGGTGTGGAGTGTTACAGAGCCCATTAGATGTGTGTAAATGTGCAGATGGCCTTATAAATCTACCAGTCTCATAAATCTGACTGACTTTAATGGGGAAGAGTGCCATGCATTTTATATGTTACTGTAAAAGTGTGCTCAGGAAATGCATCTTCATACCACAAGTGAAAAAAAAACACAAACATTCTCACCTGACTGCCTTCTTTCTGCCAAAATATGGCAGGCTGAGGACTTCCTGTGGCTTCGCATTGAAAGGTCACGGTGCGGCCCATCCCGACCACTTGATTCCTGGGTCGCACCACGAACACAGGAGGAACTGCAGGAATATGAGTTAAACAAATCAATTACCAAAGATCAATTCATTTTGACTCTTAGCATGTAAAAAACAAAAACATATTTACATTTATGCACTTACAGTGGAAGTCTATGGAGCTTGATGGTTTAAAAGCAGATGTGCAGTGTTTATTTTCTAAAATATGTATTTGCATTTCATTAAATCATCTTTCTAACACCTGGTACGTAGTACCTGCTTTCTATTTGAAAATATTTCAAAATGTAATTTATTCCTGTGACGCAAAGCTGAATTTTCAGCATCATTATTCCAGTCTTCAGTGTCACATGATCCTTCACAAATCACTCTAATATGCCGTTTTGGTGTTCAAGAAACCTTTCTTATTATTATCAATGTTGAAAACAGCAATATTTCGGTGGAAAAACTGATAGTTGTTTTTTTTCCAGAATTCGTTGACAAACAGAAAAGTCAAAAGAACAGCATTTATTTGAAATAGAAATCTTTTGTAGCATCATCAATGTCTTTACAGTTTGTTTTTATCAATTTAATGCACCCTCGATGAATAAAAGTATTAATTTCTTAAAAAAAAAACAGAATATATAAATATTTTAGTATTTAAATATAGTACATACATATTAAAATTTTTAAATATCCATTATTTTTTATCTACGTCTGTGTCAACATTTCTATCTTAACATTTCTTTACACAATGCTATGAAATGACTTGATGAGCATATTGTTCTTTCCTGTTGAAATATCTTTTATTAAAACAGGAAGTCGGGTCAATAATCTTTAGTTTACGTCACAGATTCAGCCACGACATTCTTGTTTTTTTATAGATCACTGGAGTCATTCATAGTTTTGGTCCTAGAAGAGAAAGACTGAATTTTATAAGGGCATTTCAGCCTCTACAAGCAAGTCTCTCATTTTGATTTCAGGGGGTCTTTGACATCGGCCGAATTTCTTGCGTATACGATAAATACACTGGAGACTGACAGAGCTCAACCCTTCAGCGTCACATTAACGGCAGGCGATAAAAGAAGAGTCATACTGCTGTTTAATGGACGGATGTGCAGGTATGCCGAAACATAAAAACAGATGTAGACGCAGTAAAAAAACTGCTTCATTTGCATGGGCAAGGGCACAAAGCAATAAAATTTACATGGAGATGGGGGATGAATTTGGGCCATCTGTCCCGTGCTGACACACTTTAATGGCACCGGCGTCGTGTGGAATGCAGGTTTTTCATGCATCTTAATAACAAACTCCGTCTCGTGATTTCCGACGCGAACTCGACTTCAGTGTCCGTAACAGCACGGAGTCATTTCAGCTTGTAATAAGGATGAATATTTTCATAATATGTGACACAAAGTATGACCCCGAGTGCCACATACACCGCAGCACTAAACCAATCTTACACCTGTCAAATCACACACTGCCGTAATGCGTCCGGAGGAACAAAGGAAGAATTTTCAACTAAGTGAGAATAAAATGAGGCGATTTTGACGTTACCTTGTACGCTCCGAGCGAGCATTAGTTTTACCCAGGCCTGCTGTGCTGTCACTGTTGCCGGTGACAACCCAGACAAGCGTGCTGATTGGTGGGAGGATGGAAGGTGGATGGATGGTTGTTCTGACAACTTCCTGTTGCTGTCAATGCAGCATAAATGGTGACGGGTGACATTTGCAACTTACCAGACACAACTGAAAGAGGAAAGAAAAAAATAGAAGCACGATAAAACACATATGTGATAGATGCGCAAATAAACCGCACATGACAATGAAGCAAAAATGACAGGATATGCTTACAGAACAAAATCAGTGCAGTGATGTATTTATGAGAATAAAACACAAAAACATACACAAAACATAAGGTGTGGCAAGCACACACACGTTGTAAATATATCATGAGCTGAAATATATGGCAGAAACCACACAAAGAAACAATTCTATCAGTCATGAGGTATGAATGGAGGTTTTATTCTTCTGGTCTGGCCAAAGATTTTATTAGGTGGACAATGTAAGCTGGGGTCTGGCCCTTTAAAAGCTGCAGTGTGTCATTTTTTTTACCAAAAATAGCATGAGTTTAGGGGCGTGACTATCTGTTTGTCTGAATATTGGCAGACAATTATTTTAATATTTTCAAATAGTTTTATTTTTTTCATTCACACTGCTCCGGGTGTGTGTTCACGGTGTGTGTGTTCACTGCTGTGTGTGTGCACTTAGGATGGGATAAATGCAGAGCACTAATTCCGAGTATGGGTCACCATACTTGGCCACATGTCACAATCACTTTTTCACTTTTTATTATTTTATTTGTTTCCGCTGCACTCCTAAAAATGTTCTTTATTGGCATTGATGGTCCCATGAAGAAGCTTTAAAATTCATGGAAGCTTTCCATTGCACAAAAGGTTCTTTAGATTACTAAAATGTTCTTTACACTAAGAAAAACTGCCGATTGAAAGGGAACCAAAGGTGGTTCTTCAGTGGCACCTTTATTTTAAGAGTGTGATGCATGGAAATTAAACACTCTAACTGTAAAAGAAATACAAATTCTGCCATATTTCCAAATGAAACCTACTGTTTAGTTGGAATAAAGTAGGGTGAAAATGAAATCTTAATGGAAGATTATGCAAAGAAACCACTGATGAATCGTGCACAATAAACCAAGAACATTTGTTAAGCAAGCTCAGTAAATAGGTCGAATTTAACTTTAACTTTAATGCAATAACTCGGGCCATTTGGAGTCGATCCTATGAGATGGGTGAGAAATGAGGGAAAGCGGTATATTTGAGAACAGCTGGGTAAAGAGAACTCGACTTGGACGGGCCGTTTGCTCTTTTGGCAGTGGCAGCGGCTCCCACTCTACTTGGTTTCCATGGCCCATTAACACAGCTACTCCTGGGACTCGCATGGCATTCTAGCACTTTCCTCAAATACATCAGTACTAATGACTAAATCGCCAGCTGAGAGAGGCCTCGTTTGTAGCCAACATTATCTTTCCATGGCTTTTTAACAGAGAACCGACTCTGATTCTGAATGACTTGATCTCAGAGATTGTGTGTGTTTGTGTGCATTCGACTGTGTCTCAAATCCTAGTGAGCTGCACACCTAGACAGCTTTTAAAATCTTGAATAATTTGATGAATCGGTTGACTCTTCAAATGCATCTACGATACCCAAAAGTAGGACGATTACAAGGTTTTGAAACACAGCCCATGTAACTCTCTCAAAACTCTAGTCACACAAAAGACATGCTCTAATAGAACTCATCATTTTGAATGTTTGAGGAATCTCATTTCTTGGCATCTGAAAAGCAATGCTGTGCCAAAGACAAGTTTAGTAATAAGCCCCTTCACTGGACAGACTGATTATTGAAGCAGACGTGTTTAGAAGTCTGGTTCCAATGTTGCTGGCCCGCTAAACACACATGTAATATAATAATTCAGCAATTTCTGTAAGCAGTAAAAACCAGTAAAAGCAATAAGCGAAGCAGGGAATGAGAGAGGAGGAGACGGAGGAAACTGCTCAGGGGTGTCACGACACAATGTGCACATTGTTCTCTAAATAGTTGAGCCTTCAAGAGTGTGAAATTCACTCAAGGGGCCAACATGAATACATAAGTAAAATGTGTGTGTTCTGATATATGGGTGTTTCTACAACTAAACCTCGTTTTTATTAACAAATTATTTTAAAAAAATCAATTATAACTAAATTATAAATAATTGTAAATATCAAATAAATTATTATAACTAAATATTTCAGATTTTTCTTTTTGTTAAATAAATAAAAAAATTAATTATTATTATTATTATCATCATTTTTTTAAACTATGCTATTATAAACAAAAGAGTAAAGTAAACAAACCAATTCAATATTCATATATTTATTGTAAATATTTATTTTTGTTAAATAAATAAATAAATTATTATTATTATTATTATTATTATTATTATTATTATTATCATTATTTAAAAAAAATATGCTATTATAAACAAAAGAGCAAAGTAAACAAACCAATTCAATATTCATATATTTATTGTAAATAAAAAATCAATTATTCCACAAATTATAACTATCTCAGTTGTAGTATCATTTCCACCACAAAAAACCTTTTTTTTTTTATTATATTATTATATTTTAAAATACTTGGTTACTAAGAAAACAAAAGTGAGGAGCAAGCTTGAGATAAAATATGAATTGCGATTAGTGACAAAAGTAAATAAAAATCAAGTTAAACATCAACTGAATAATTTCCACTCAAGTTTCCAAAAACCTAAGAAAGATGAAGATATCACCCATTTTTCACATTAAAATATCTTTTCCAACACAGGGTGTTATCAAACACAATAAATCATTTGAGATGTGGTGGAAATGATGCTTCAGAAAAATGACAGAAATAATCCTGTTTCACTCAGGATACAGAGAGAGAGAGAGAAAAAAAAGATTTTCCAACAGCTAGGAAAAAAATGGTAAGGAATATTCAAAATGATGCAGCATCCAGTCGGACAAAGCTACCTGACAAGCTGTCAAAACAGCAAACGTTTGTCTGAAAACTAACAGCTGGTCAAAGCACACACACAATCTCCCGCCCAACGAGGGCATTCGTTACTTCAAATTATAGATAAGTGGCTGCAGGATCGAAGCAGTTTGTCAAACAGCGTGAGATGAGTGACAGCGTGTGTTTGTGTGTTCTTACCGTGGACGGTGAGGGTGGCGCTGGCCTCCGTCTTCCCCATCATGTTCTCCGCCTGACAGGTGTAAGTACCGGCGTCTCCTGAGGTCAGTCTCTTCAGTTTGAGCGTGTGGTCCTCCCAGATCTCATGCCTGAGAAGATGATGATACACAAACAAGATGATTTCTTTCTGGCCATTTCCCACTCCCATTTTATTGTTCTTAATATAAACTAACCAGAAGCGTTCTCACTCATACCTTCCCTTGGGAAGATCTCCGTCCTCTTTCCTCCAGCGGATGGTGGGCACGGGGTCTCCTTGAGCTTCACATCTGAACTCCACACTCTGGTCCACCAGAACAGACTGACTGCTCGGCTTTCGTAAGAAACTGGGCCTCTCTGCACACAAACACGCAGCTTATTATGTAATACACGTTTCCCAGTCTTCCCTATGAGATATTCCCTTCTCTGATCTGATTGGCTACTTATGAACTTACAGTGAACTATATCTATCCATCTATTTTTACTCATTCTCATCTTTCTTCTTCATAACAGCTAGTTTTAGTAGATTTCCTCAAACAAACAGTTCACCTATGGTTTCAGCTTCAGCTTGAACTCTGACTTGTTGTTTTAGCCTAAACGTTCATGCAGCTAATCCTAAAGAAAGCTTCCTCTCTGATTTATTTATTAAGATTATATAACTTTGATGTTAGGATATGATTGAATCTGTTCAGATTAAGATGATCTAACCCACTGATATGAGGAAACAGCACTACAGTTCCTTAAAGGCACATTTACTGTATCACAGCAGTTAATTCATGTTTATCGATCACTTGTAATGTACCCATTGATTTTTTTTTTAGTCCATGTTGTGTTTATTACACTTTCCATTTATATTACTTTGCATATAACGTGGGCTAGCTACAACTGCTATCAGTGTTATTGTTAACTAAAACTATTAAAAATAGTATTAAAATAATCGTTTTCGATTATTTAAAGGTGGGGTAAGTGATTTCTGATAGCCAATGTTGACATTTCAAACCACCAAAACAAACACGCCCCTACCCCAAAAGGGTCTCGCCCCTATTTTGATAGCTCCGCCCCACACATACGTACACAACCCAGGCAACGATTAGTTCTGTGAAACAAAGCAAAACCAATGTTACACCGTGTCTACACCGGACGCGAGCAGTGCGGTGCGGCGCGACAAAATACTATAGAACTCATTATAATCAGTGATGCTGTCTACACTGGATGCGGCAAATCCCCGACAGAAAACTGCTGCTGCATTCTATTTACGTTCTAATGACGTATTGACACAAATTTCAAATGATTTTCAATGGTCGCTTTGTCGCGTCCAGTGTAGACAGACTGTTGTGGCGCGGCGAGACAACTGTCGCGTCCGGTGTAGACACGGTGTTACTCACCTATCGAGAAGAAACAAAACAACCTCGGCGTCCGATCGCAGGCCTTCCCGCTCCTTAAGCTCTCTCCAGCGCTGGAAAGCTGATCCGATATTTACACGGGTCCTACTTCTTGCCTTAAGCCTTCTTTTGTTCCGCAGACGTTTTCCTCTTTTGTTTTTTATCCGCCATCTCTATCTTTCTGTCGCTCGGCTCGGCTAATGTCCGTCCAGTGCACTGAGCGCTCTCTCGTCCCCATCATGAGTAGACACGTCCCTTACTGCTGATTGGCTACAAGTTTGTTTTGCTAGTCGGCCCGAATCAGTTTTCTAAAGCGTTTTTGAAAAATCGCTGACCCCACCTTTAAACTACATGAAAAATGTAGAGCTCTGTTTTGTAGGACACACACATAGGAAAAGTTTGATGTACAGCAGAAATAATTCAACATTATGTTGAAATAACTTCATGTTATAGCGCAATACACAAGATTTGTGATGGTGTTCACTGATTAAAAAAATTTCCCCATCAATCTAAAAAAAGCTCCTCTGGAACACCATCAAATGTGGAATAAGATTAATAAAAAAAATTTTAAAATGCAAAATATTCTTACTTTAACTTAACTAAAAAAAAAAAGACTATTATACAATTAAAATATATGAAAATAGAATTCTAGTATAAGTCCTCGTTTAGATACCAGGTGAATGTATGTTGCTGTTCTTATATGTTCTCTGACACCAAAACATAAAAGCTAAGAATAATAGCTGATTAGAGACCCAGGCCTGGGTGAAGATGTAATTTAAGGTAATCAAAGGTCAATCTTTGAAAGGTCAGAGGTGAGAGTGGACTAAAAGTCCTTAGGGATGAGCTTGTTAAGAGCAGCAGAGACAATGATAATGATCTGAGATGACCATATCTGAAGTAGAAGGGCTCAGGTCACCTAATACTGGATAAAGACAAGTACATAAATCTCAAAATAACATAAATCTGATCTTTAAGGCAAATTTATGCCTTCAGGGGAGTGTGTGAAAGAAGCTAGAAATGTTTTGCCTGAATCTGTACCTGTTCCTGGGGGAATCCCTGTTCTCTACATCTCACTTTCTTCCAGAAGAAATAAACTGCGAGAGAGAGAGAGAGAGAGAGAGAGAGAGAGAGAGAGAGAGAGAGAGAGAGA